TAGTGGTTGCACCGGCCCTGTTAGTGGTCAGACAGTGCCCAAGCTGAGAGAGAGACTGTGGAGCTTTCTTACAATGCCTGGAATGAGAGAACTGTCTTGCATTTTCAGGAAGCTGGCAGCACTATTCCTCACATGCATTTGAACCCTTACAGACCCTCTCTCCCACACAAGCTAGAATTAAGGAGAACTTGACTACTTACTGAAGGGGGCGGGGGAAGGAAGGGATTGGAATTACATAGCCAGCCCAAACTTCATGGGGCCAATGATTGAATGTGAGCTCTCTGCTAATGTACAATATGTCCTAAAATAAGAGAAATAGATACAAAATATTAGCAGCTGAACAATGTCCCCACTTGTCCCCAATATGCCATACTGGTCGCTGTTAATGCACAGTTAAATTTACCTGTGCCAGTACAATCTGTTTAAATCCCCTTTCCCTGCCTCCAACTAAAATCCATAGTTCAAAGCCTTTCTGTCTTTGTTGTGGTAGTAGAAACAAGTAAATAATTGTGAGAAGAGGAACAACCAAAGGTGCTTTACCCAAACAAGTGAGTCTATTATTCCATGGGACAATAGAGATAACATGATCTAGTCCCACAAGTAGCTGAAAATAAATATCTTACTCTGAACCCCAAAAGTGTCAGTGGCAGGTGCTAGGCCATGGGATTCAGGCTGATAAGGATCAGGGCATCTCTGATTTCCAACTATAGGAATAGCAGCACCCCAAACACCTTATCTCCAGTCCCAGCCAGAGCCCTCATCCCCCCACACCCTGACCCTCTGCCCAAGCCCTGAGCCCCTCCCATACCCCACAGCCCTCACCCCTGCACCCCATCCCTCTGCACCCCTCCCATCCCCAAACTCCCTCCCAGAGCCTGCACCCTGCACCTCTATCCCCTGCCCCAGCCTAGGGCCTGCACCCCAGACCTCCTCCCTCACCCAAACTCCCTCCCAGAGCCTTCGGCAGGTGGGGGGGGCGGAGTTTTGGCAGGGGCGGGTTCTGGGCACCACCAAAATTTCTACAAACATGCCACCCCGGGTTTGTCTCTGTCTGAGGGGTTGGAGCAAATGCGATTGTATCATAGAGCTTGGCTGTAGACAATGGATCGTGTGGTGTGGTCTGGATGAAAGCTGGAGGCATGTAGGTAACTATAGCGGTCAGTAGGTTTCCGGTATAGGGTGGTGGTTATGTGACCATTGCTTATTAGCACTGTAGTGTCCGGGAAGTGGATCTCTTGTGTGGACTGGTCCAGGCTGCAGTTGATGGTGGGGTGGAAACTGTTGAAATCATGGTGGAATTCCTCAAGGGCTTCTTTTCCATGGGTCCAGATGATGATGTCATCAATGTAGTGCAAGTAGAGCAGGGGCATTAGGGGACGAGAGCTGAGGAAGTGTTGTTCTAAGTCAGCCATAAAAATGTTGGCATACTGTGGGGCCATGCGGGTACCCATAGCAGTGCCGCTGATTTGAAGGTATATGTTGTTCCCAAATGTGAAATAGTTATGGGTCTGGTAGAGCTCTAAAATCCAAGAACGGACATGCAAAATGGAAAAAAACTTCATTGTAACAAAATATCTCATGGCAGGACAGTGTCCCAGTGACTTAATGTGACCTCTCTATTTTTAGCTATTTTCATTTAGTATCCTATCTCAATGAAATTAGATTCCATGATTTCATGGATCTCATTATTACACATGAAAACTGTGACAATTATGGGGATGCTCTTGAATTGTACTGTAGCTTGCCCTATTACTGGCATGGTTTTCTGCACAAATATTTCTGATTAAGTTCATCCCACAGGCCAGAAGGCAGAGATAGTTCACAATGATTGCCTAGTAGCGTCCACTGAAGGGCTGCTAAGAGACAATGTCAGAACAATTACCTCCAATTACTCTAGCCCCCCGCAGCACAGCCTATATAATTAGTTTGACCTGGGTGGGCAAGTCCCACCACTTCTTGAAACTTCTGGGCCTTATATTCACTATGGGAAA